GTGAGGGATGCCTATGAATGACTTGAGAACCTCTTGCTGCTTTCCAGTAACTTCTAATCTCTTCCTAAATCCAGTTACATTGCATACCCAGAATTCCTACAACAGCCCTGAATTTTACAGCAACTCTTGTGACCATGCTTGCTTATGAGCTTGTTTTTCGGGTTACCTAAGTTCTAGCCAGTTTTGTTGAGGAACAAAGAATTCTAAACTCAAATGTAGGATTATGGGGAGAGGTAAAAATATTTTTTGTGACATTCTTGTTTGCTACAACAGAGCCTGTCCAGGTGGAAATATTAATTTGATGGAACAAAAGGATTTAGCTCTAAACAATAAAGCAAAACAAAGTAGTGTTGTATGTTATTGGCATGTAGCTTGAGGGGGAATAAATTTTTCTAATTTTAAAGTAGATCTCAGAAGCTCTGTTCTCTCTTGAGAGTGGATTACTTTGATCCTTTCCCTTAATTCCAAAGGGGACAGAACAAAGTTCTACTTGTGATCTTCTGGATTAAAATACTTTGTATTTCCATAATACTCCAGCATTCAAATAGTCAGAGGTTACAAGGAGAAACGGTTTAAAAATTTCATTCAACAAATAAATATTGAATGCCTACTGTGACTAATACTATATTGGTCCTGCAGATTCAGAGGCAACTGGATTAACTGAACTCCTGTTCTCATGGAGAAGAGAGAAGGGATTTCTTGATTTATGGACTACAGAAATCTACAGAGATGGTTATGGATTCCACTTGATTGTAGGAATTATAAATTATTGGTTCACTCCTTCTCTCTGGCTCTGTTGTATATGTGCTTTCCTGATTTTCAATAAGCTTATTATATATGATGGCCAAAGTAATCGCCATCATCTCTGGATCCTCCCAAGAATCAGTGATCTTTATTAGTCTGCCTCTGTGAAAGGCAGATACCTAAACGGCATTAAAAATGCAATTTTAGGGGCCGGTGATGTAGCTCAGTGGTTCCACTGCCTGCTTTGCAAGCACAAGGTCCTGAGTTTGATCCCTGGTATCAAAAAAAAAAAAATGCAATTTTATTAGGTAAAATGCCTGAGAGAAAATGTGAAGGGAACTGGAATAGACAGGGTAAGCTTCTGACCGAGAAGGAAATACAGAGGAAAGGGTAGGTAAGTATGTCAAAGCATTCTAGGTTGTTATGTAATTTACAGAAATTTTGGTACAGGGTCATTGGGAAGTTTCAAGTCAAGTCAAGTCATTGGAAGAGTCTTATCTCCCAGAACAGGTCTGCCTTCATATCTGTGTTGCTTGCGGCCACTAGCTGGGAACAACAGTAGGTAATATAGCCTTGTGCAGATGTGAGGGGCTTCAGAATGAAGCATTTACCACCCAAAGCTAATTAAGCTACCTGTTTGAAAGTCTGAGAGATTCATTCTCATAGCAGTTAAATGATCCAAGAGATAAGAACACAACCTACTTTCCTACAGGATCAAAATTACTATTCTCAAAGCTTCCACTGCTATCTACCGGTTTAATCACTTGGCTATTTCAAGACCTGTGATTTATGGGATGGGGTCACATGGGGACAGAAGACTGGGCATGATGATTTCACAGGCCAATATGAAACCATGTGGAGTTTACAAAATGATGTTGAAAAAATTATCAGATATCTACTAGTATGAGTGAGTGTAAAACATATAAATATACATCTATGACTTTATATGTAGTGCAACAGGATAATAGCTATTTACAATGAAGATACATAAATTTAAAAACAATAAACCATATAAATGAGCAACATAAAGATAAATTTTCTCAAAAAATCCGTAAAATAAATAGAATTGGTGACTTTGTTTCAGATCAACCTTTTAAGGCTATTTAATAAAGCCTTGGAAAATAAATAGAGCACCTTCATCCACAGTAGATGCCAATAAACCAGGTTTATTATGCAGGAATAATAATGCTATCTTCCTCTGGGGCAAAGCTTGGTCAGTTACAGCTGCACTTTGTTATAAATGACTTGGGTTTGTTGTGGTTTGATAAGTGTCCCCCAAAGGCCCATGTGACAGTAGCCTGTGGCAGTACTGGGAGGTTGCAGAACCTTTAAGAGGTGGGGCCTAGTGGGAAGAGTAAGGTCACCACAGGAGCATGCCCTTGAAGGGGCTACTGGGACCCTCACCTCTGCCTCTCTACCTCCCTCCCTCCCTCCCTCTTTTCCACTTTCCTCCCTTTCTCTGTATGCGTGGCCTCCATCTGGGGCCCTTATATTGTCCCTGTGACACAGTTCAGTGGTGGCAAACCTATGGCATGCATGTTATTGTGTTTGTCTTTAAGACAAATGATGTTAATGTGTGAGTTTCTTTCTAAACTAAAACCTCACTATTCAGGCTTAATCGCAGTGTGGGCACTTTGCAATAAATAAGTGGCTTTTGGGTTGCAGTTTTGCACTCAATCTCTAAAAGGTTCGCCATCACTGACACAGGTCAAGGAAAAATGGAATAAATACGATGCTCATGCTTCATGATGTAAAATTAAGTAGTTTTTGTCCCTAACTTAGGACTCTTACCTTTTATGTTAGCATCCATGAAACTATGGCGAACTTACAAGTACGTTAATATCTCACATTCTTCATACAAACTAGTGAAATGAGTTCAGGTACACAACAGACCACCAACAACAGACAACAGTATCAGTGACCTCAGGATTCTGTAATTGAAAGAAATCTTTAAATCATCTCGTTCCCAATTCAGTGTTCCCATTTTACAGATAAAGAAACACCCCCTAAATAGGTTGGTTAAATTGCTCAAAATAATTCTACCTCAAGGGGCTAAATCAATGTCATTTGGACATAAAGTTCGAAACTAATGCATAAGGAATGAGGTATGAGTTTCAGAATGAGCACTGAAATATTTTGGTAATTCATCTAGAGTTAATATTCTTTCAGCTTCATGCATGTAATTATAAATATTCACACTGACAGAGCCATGGTGTTCTTGATACCTCTAAGATTGTCTTTAACTGGTTATTTGATCTATATACAATTAATACAGGTAGAACAAAGGAACTAAGGAAATCACTCCTCTACACCCATTTGAGTTTGGACAGTACCTAGGGCCATTGTTCCTCCTGTTGTACTGAGAGGGATAAAATAATGGAACAAAAACCCAGGAAATCTTTGAAGCTCTAGCTGAAAGCACATGCACACTGGACCTCCTGGCCTGACCTTCAGCTACCTTTACCCCTCTTGAACCTTATTAAAGGTTCATAGATGTGGACTACGTCTCACACATGTAACTAAGATCAGAGTGAATTCTGTGTGTTGAAAGCTCCTGAGATGGATGACTCAACACCCTGACAATCATTCCTGCCAATCTTACCTAAAGACCCAGGCTGGGTGCCTATCCCTTAAATTTGAAAAGCCTGATTTATCTGTGTGTTTTGCTTTCCTTTTGTCTGTTTCTCTTGTTGTTTTCTTTTTTGTTCATGTCACATTTTTGTCGGTACAGATTTGCCCTGGGCACACATTCCCATGATCTTCAATAAACGTAGCTCCTTTTTACCTACCATTTGACTGTGCACTTGCAGTTCTTTGTCTGTGGTATCCAAGGGCCTGGAGTTAATCAGTTGGATCAACCACTATCTGTGCTGGGATGCAGAATTAACTGGAATTTCTATTATATTAGGCACATGTCGTTATATCTTCCCTTTCTTGCTCATAATCTCATAAACTACCATGTCATTTTATTTACTAATATATGCTAATTTTAAATTCTAAATTATAGTCCCCTATGATAAATCTTTTACCTTCTATTTCCAGCTGTTACTAAGAATGTGGAGAATTTCATCTGTCCTAGTTTCTTCTTGAATCAGTAAGTTCCAGAGCCTTTTCTAACTCTATCTAATCAATGTGGAACTAATTATCCACAACTAAACAGACTGAAGCTTACTTGCTATTGGAATCCTGGATGCAGATTTATGTTTGTTGATTCTGTTTCTATTCTTAATCATTCCAATTTTATAACTAAGTTTATGCCTTACTAAAATTTTTCAAATGTTCATGACAACTTATCCGGCATTAAGATTATCCAGTGTACCAAGTATTTATTTGCAAAAAGTAGAAGAGAAAACAATGACATGAAGTTTTCTATTTCTGCCAAGGAAGAGGTTTGAGAGAGAAAACATTTTAGACCATGTCTCTTACCATTTTGTTTTTGGAAGGGGAGCCAATGATATCCTGAGTTATTTGTCAAACTTTTCATTAATTATTCAGGAAAAATGCCAAAAGCAGTCACATCAAGTACATTATCTATTAGTTTTCAGTTTTGTTCCTGCTACATGGTCTATAGTATCTAAAACAGTGCTTTGCATGTTTTTAAAAATACATTATTTTTAAGTGACTAAAGAATGTATTCTTTTAAAAATGCAATGTATATTGGCACCAAAGAAAATTTCAACTTTCAAAGTGTAAATCAGAGCTTACCTTTGAAGACAACAATCGCCAACACAACAGGAAACAATTAAAAGGTAACAATGAGAATAGAAACTCAGAAATGTATGGGAAGTTTTAAATGTACATTTATAAATAAATCCTGAGTGAAAGAATTCCAAGGTGAAATTTTCGAGTATCTAGACTGAAACAAGATTACTACATTATCAACACTTCAAGGATACATAAAAATCTGAGAGGAAGATGCTAGGATCAAATGCTTATATTACTGAAAATGCTTGAAATGAAATGAGAAAAATTTAATTTACAAAGCTAAGGTGAAGGGCGGGAACCCAAAATATATAAGATTTAATAAAGATTAGTGATTAAGGATAAACACAATAAAAACGGAAAAACCTGGGGTTATTAGTAAGGTCAATAAACCAGACAAAATGTTAGGATGTCTTATCAGACAGGTTACTTTATGTCAACAAGAGCTAGTTAGGACATACATATAATGTCACAAAATCTCACTAATAAGAGAAATGATATATGAAAAGCTTTAAAAGATGAAAACTTTAGTGCTACTGAAGGATGCAACAGAGTGAAGAATCTTAGCATGTTTATTGGTGAGGAAAACTAAATACAGAATACAACTGTGCTGCAATTAAGCTTTCAACTTAGTACAGCTCCAATAAAATCCTCAAAGCATTTTCCAGAGATGAAATCTACTTTTTCAGTAAATCCAAAAGACATTTATAAAGATCAATTGATACAGGGGCTAGGGATTTAGCTCAGTGGTTCCGCTGCCTGCCTCGCATGTGCAAGGTCCCGAGTTTGATCACCCGTACCAAACAAAACAAAACAAAGATCAATTGATACAACTTTGAAAGTGCACAATATTTTAACCAATCTGTACCATAAGGCTATTTCAGTCATGTATTAACTGAAATACATTATAAGAAACATATTTTCACGGTTGTGTACTTTATAAGTGTACTTAGGCAAAATGTAGGCAGCAGCCTTCTTCACACCTAGGCTATCTGGTATACCTATCATCAGAGATGTGGTCTGTCACTGACTGAAACAATACATAGCACATGGCTGTATAAGTTCGCTATGGATATTTCGAAAATTACCACAAACTTATGGCTTAAAAGAACACCTACTCTGTAGCTCAAAGTTGTGTCAGTCAGAAGCCTAACAAGGTTGGGGTGGACTTGCTGCCTGGGGTTTCACGAAGACTGACATTGAGATGTCAACTAAACTCTTACCTGGAGGATCTAGGAAAAAAATATCTACTTCCTTGATCATTCTTGCTACTGGCAGAACTTGGTTCCTTGTGGATGTACCGTTTTCCTACTGGCGGTTGGTAGGAATAGCTCTTAGCATCTCTAGCCCATGCCAAATGGCCCCCTCCATCTTCGGTTAGAAAGATTCTCCCTTCTATCAAGTTTTTCTCATGTTTCAAAACTCTCTCACTTCCTCTTCTACCACCAGCTGCAGAAAATTTTCTGATTTTAAAGAGCTACATATGATTTGGATAGGTCCAATTGGATTCCTACCCCTTTGCTAAAACTTTTGTGCTATATGACATAATGTAGTCCCAGAGGGAAAATTTTTATCTTCAGTCATGAGTATTAGGATGATAAATCTTCTTTCTTTTTTTTTTGGTACTAGGGATTGAACTCGGGTCCTTAGCTTGCGAGGCAGGCAGTGGAACCACTGAGCTAAATCCCTGGCCCGATAAATCTTCTTTCTTCATAGTGTTTAAAATAAAACAACTGGGCAGAAGTATCACCTGAAACAAAATAATAACAGAGTGGGAATTTGCTTTTGTTAAGTCATAATGTATTTTTCAATGACTACCATAAACTGGGTATCTTTCTTGGTATAAGGAATGCAGTTAGAATTGTTTCACTTCAAATTAATTTTCTGTATTGTCCAACAATCATAAATTTGAAGTACACATTTTGTGGATATTTCACTACATTAAATCTTGGTAATATTTTTTATTTCAACTTTTTTTCAACACACACTTTACTCTGATTAGGACTCCAAAGAAAGGTAATGTAAGATCATGTACAATCTTTAACCTTTATAGAAAAATAAACTGAAAACATGCTACAGTTAGTATTATTACTTAACTGACTATACAAAAATAGTTATGACTTCACCAGTATAAAACTTGCGACAGATTACATTTTTTGTACATCGTGAAAACCTTCTATGTACCTTATACTAACAACATATCACAATTTGGACAAGCCATTTCAAAAACTCAACAGTCACATAACTCTTAACTGTAATGAGAGAAAAGACACTAGCCTGCATATTTCTTCTATCTGGCACATCTACTTATAGACAGTTGTTGTGAATTGTCATCAACTTTCAAAGTCTCCATCATAGCCTTATAGATTAGATGAAGTATACCATTAGCAGAATTTGGTCATTATCAAACATTAAACTGAGACTAGTGCTATGTCTGGTACCAGATAAACAGCAACAAAAGTGGCAGATCATGCATCCAACTGCAGACACAAACATAGGTAACAGGAGTGGCTGATCTTTTTCTTCATTGTATTTGGCACAATTACTAATTTTCTGTATTTCCGTACTTATACTGTATATGTGAATGTATGCGTATATACATGTTTCTCTTTTAATACTACACTCTGTACAAGAAAGAACTATAACTATCTTATTTTCTGTTATGTACTCAGGCCTCAATGAGGTCAAATATCGATTAAATGCATGGCCATGTATTGTCATTTCATTATTGTGTTTTCCAATTAGTCATGACACATTCCCACATTCCACATTTTCTTAGTAAGAGGAGTAACGACTATCTCCTTGTCAAACACTTTCTAATAGCCTACCCTGATCCATAAAAAGTAATCGTACCCAGATGTGGTAGTACACACCTGTAATCCCAGCTCTCTGGGTGAGGCAGAAGGATCACAATTTCAAGCGCTGCCTGTATAACTCAGCAAGACCTTGTATCAAAAAGGGGGTGGGATGGGGATGGAATACAGCTTGGTGCAAAGGCCCTGGGTTATATCTCCAGTACTGAAAAACAAAAAAATTTCCCACTAGTCAGAATGTTATTTATCTTGTCTTCATCATATTCTCTTCCTCCAACACAACAAAATCAGAATGACTGAGGCACAAATGAACAGTAAAAGAACTGCTTATATCCATCTCTCAAGAATTAAACCACATAGACAAACATGGAAAGATGTAACAGTGAATAATGTTTCTCACCGGACATTCAACAGTGGCATAGTATTTAAGAGCTCTAGAGACTACAAAGGCTCCTTTGGCAATCTTTATGTTAAAACAACAGAAATACTGTAGCTATGATAAAAGAAAACTAAAAACTGGAAAATGTACTGAGCTTTTTTTTTTTTTTTTGGTACCAGGGATGGAACTCAGGATCTCGTGCTTGCCAGGCAGGAGCTATGTCACTGAGCTACATTCCCGGCCATGTACTGAGTTTTTTTAAAAAGCAAACTGAAAACAATGTTTAACTAAAGAAAAAAACCCATTACCAGAAAAAAAAGTATTTATTCCATAAAGTCTTTTTGCTAATCTTGAGGGTATAAAAATAATTTTATGTAGAGTGTAACATCTGGAAAAATGTAAGAATCGAGAATGAGAGCAGCACTTACCATTTTCTATACACAATAAAATGGTACTTTAATATTGCTATCACCTAAACCCATTTATAGTGAGTTTTGTGATTTTAGCACAAAAATCCTCCAACTACTACTTGAGTGTTCCCTGTTTTATAAACTGTTAGCACACATAAGCATTTCATATTATTCAAAACATTTATTTATCTTTTCTGTGTAAAGCTTGACAAATGTTATCATACTAAAAATGTCCTAAAGAAAATTACTTTTTTTTTTTCTTCTTAGGTGAGCATTCCAGAACTGGGGTAAGTTCAGCCTCTTCACCGTGTTTTCTTTTCTTTTTTTTCTTTTTATGGTCACTTTGGTAACCACTGGAGTCACTGCCTTGGAAAACAGGGTCCTGATCCTGATACTCCTGGTGCTTTTTCTTCTTTTTTTTCTTCTTTGGCTCTTCCTCCCAGAGGTCATTTACGTTATTACTAATCTGCAGGTCTTCCTCTTCTTTTGGAGTCACATCTATTATATCTGCTAGTTCTGTTACACTGACATCCATTTCATCTATTTCTGGGGCTTTCTTCTTTTTCTTTTTCTTCTTTGGAATTTTTTCAACAGCCTCCTTTGTGACAGTTTCTGCTACTTCTTCAGAAATTTCAAAGCACTTGGATTGTAAACTATAAAAAAAGTTAAAAAACTATCAGTAACGAGGAAAAATAATGAGACGAAGAATATATTAATAGACAAAGACTTTCTAAGTAACAACAGTATAAGATACAAAACAATGACATAAATTTCAAATATTCTATCCTCTCATCCCTCACCCTACTAATATGTCCATGGGCCATCAAACTGTTAAATTCAATGCTAAATTATCATTAAATGTTAAATTCTGTTTCCATAGTATTGCTCCAGAAGTCAAAACATGATTTCTAAGTTTTGGTTTGGTTTAGAAGACTTTAGTCCCTGACATTAAATTCAGGCTTATAGGGCAAACACGGAACATTTGATAAAGAAGAAATATAATTCCTGTATATATCACAGCAATGGAGTTTTTCTGTCTACTAGGTCAATCTTTCTTTCAAATATGATGAACCAACCAACCTAGTGATGCTTAGTTTTCCTCGAATGCAGAATACTCCAGCAGCATCTGAGTCTAGACGAAATACTTCAAATTCTAGTTCATCACCCACGTTTACCTCCACAGTGTGCCACTGCTCAGCTGACATTTGCTCAGGCTTAGGAATGGAGGCATTAAAACATCCATGTACTAGACAGCCAATGTGGCTAGAAGACACTTTATTAACTATACCCTGGGAAGAAAGAAGAAAGAACAGAATATCATGAAGAGATGCAAAGAATTAAAGGGTGAGTAAAATTTTATAAGATTCAAACTGATCTTTACAGAGAATATATCAAATTAATTGTATTTTACATGGAAAAATTTTAATTCAATTACAATTTACTATATGCCATACCAAAACATAACTTTGACATACTATAGAATTTTCAGAAAGCTCAAACTTTATTAAGTAATTGCATGTCAGTTGTTTAACTAGATAAACAAAAGCTAATCAATTAAGTTGGCCTGCTTCAAACAGGCCTTCTTCAAACAAAAAAACTCCTAGGCCCCCCAAACAGGACTGCCTTGGGACTAGACTGCTCTATAATGTATAACCCACAGTGAAACCAAGCAGAAAATACTGTAATACAAACTACATGTGAAAAGACCTCAAGGTAAGAAGCATATGCTTTTTATCCCTGGGATCCACATTACATTTCTGCATAAAAGTACATTCTTGAATGATTCAATTTAGCATGATATATATAAGCAGTCCTATTAGACAACTTTATCCTTTATAAATCTTGAGCATGGCCTTTCAGCTAAATCACAAAAACAATGAAACAAAAGTGGGTGTTGCACAATTTTTAGACCCAGGACAACGGCACAGCAACAGAAACCAAATACTCTAGCACTCATCCACTGGCCCCAACGGTAGACTGCCACTATCCACTACAAGGGAAAAGGTGAAAAAGAGTGAGTCCCAACAAGCTCTATCTATCACAAATAGCTAAGTATTTTGTCTTCACAGTGGGCTGACTTCAGAGAAGGAATGCATTGCATTGTACATCCTAACAAACTTAGGGCACTGTAGCTGGGTACCATCAGCAGCAGAAGAAACCTGTTGTCTGAGTTTATACTGATTATTGGGGCTTCAATACAGGTCTTTTAAAACACAGAAACAAATGTAGAATGCTCTAGTATTTTTAAGCATAATATTTAAACTATTCATACCTTTAGTATGAAGACTAGAAAACAAAACAATTAAAAATAATAAGTACATTGATATGTTAAGCAATAGGACATATAGAAAAATGTAAAATAGGAAAAAAGAATGGAGCATTTGAGTTCTTGTGAACACCATTAAAAAAATGAAAGATCTATATAACTGACAATCTAAGGGAAGAGATAAAGGTAAAAGGCATATGGATTGGTCAGCTTTCCCACTGCTAAACAAAACACCTGAAACCTCCAATTCAAAGGAAAAGAGGTTTATTTTGGCTCATAGTTTCTGAAAGTTCAATCCAAGGTCACTGGCTGCAAAGTAGAAACATCACAGCTAAAAGGTGTGCCAGAACAAAGCTGCTCACTTCATGGTGACAAGGAAATAGGACAGGAGAAGAAAGAAGAAAGAAGAAAGAAAGAAGAAAGAAGAAAGAAGAAAGAAGAAAGAAGAAAGAAGAAAGAAGAAGAAAGAAGAAAGAAGAGGAGGAGGAGGGACAGACAGACACTCTCCAAAGGCAAGCCACTTCCAACTGGATCCCACTTCCTAACGGACATTCAGTTATGAACACCAATGGGTTAATTCACTGAGTTTAGCACCCCCATGATCCAATCACCTTTCCAGGAGTCTCTTAATGGAGTCAACCCAGTTAATGGTCACAAGTTACCTGCGTACACAGAAAACCATTCAATGGAGTAAGAGTAGAAAATTTCCCAAATCTTTGGAAAGACATGAATATTCAGGTCTAGGAAGATTCTAGAACCCCATATAGAAACAAATAGAAAATAGTTTCTCCATGACATATACTAAAACTGTCAAAAAATACTAGAAAAAAGAATGCAAAATTCTGCAAGAGAGGAGTGTCACATTTAACAGCAAACTTATCAAATGAAGAGCAGAGCCCTAAAAGGTCAGGAGGGCACAGATAGAACAATGTACTTCATGTCCTGAAAGAAAATAATTGAGAACCAAGATTACCACACTCAACCAGCCTATCCTTCTTAGAAGTAAAGGAAAAGAACTTTCCAAGGTAAGTATAAATGAAAGAAATTTTCAGTAACTAGATCAGTCTTATAATAGATTCTTAAGTGAATCTAACACTCAGAAATGAAAGAAAGATACCATCACAAGAGCAGAAAAAAGAGTAACTACCACTAGAAGAGCAAATACACTAAAAGAGAAGGAAGAATCAAGCATTATCAATACAGTAAACTTATCAAACCACAAAGAGGCATTAAGGAGGAAGACATGAACAAAGAATATTCAAAACAACTAGAAGAAATGTCAACAAAATGACAGGAAAAAGTCCATACCTTCCAATAGTAACTCTGAACACAAGTGGATTTAATTTTCCAATCAAAAGACACTCACTGGGAACCCAACAATATTCCAATACGCTGCCTGTAAGAAAGCCACCTCATCTGTAACAATACACAGGGACTCAAAGTAAAAAGGATGGAAAATGAAACTTAAACCAAATGAAACCCAAAAGCAAGGAGTATCTATACTTATATCCAACAAAACATATTCATAGAAAATAATTTTTATGTACCCACAATATGTGAATACCCCCCACATAAATATTTCTGAGTATGCGTATAGTCTCTTTAAGTTTTCTAAGTTACATAATTACGCAAAGAAAGCTAGGGAAAAATAATATACATACCATAAGCTTTTGCCCTGGTTCAGGGCAGAAAACAACAAAATCTGCTTCAATGTTAAGATGAATATGTCCTTGATCATCATAAATATCTCCTAGTTCACCCACAACTTTGATGTTATCATACGCAACAGGGACACCTAAAAGGCTGTTAAAAAAGAAAAAAGAAGAAAATGATACCCTGTACCCTTTTTTAAAATAGGCTATTATTATACTGATGACTTACTCTAAGAGTTCAAAAAGTATACATCACCTGACTATACCAGCCATGTCAAAAACATATACTGTATGCCTATTTATAACTTTAGCAGTTCCTCTTCATCAAAAGCTTTCAATGTGTTAATTGAGTTAAACTGAAATAAACTGCCCCTTCTTCCTCATTTGAATTAGTCATACTAGAGAGAAACAAAACGACTTAGGCAAGGAATCCTATTTCTGTAGGACTGAACACAGACAATTTTGATATTATCTACCATCCACCATTTGCAAATTTCTGTATTTGACAGCGTGTATTAAAGGAAGCATTAAAGTTGAAGACATGGAATATTATTGCTAATGAATTAATGATTAAACAAAAATCCCAAACTGCAACTCTTGCTAGTAAATGGAAATGTCAAGATACACAACTACATGATTTATTGAGAACTGACTTTAACACTTTAGTATTTCACACTCAGGATTAGCAAAAAACTATTATTGCTAAATATCATTTTTTAACTATGCAGGACAATCTGGTGGCTTCACTACCACACTACTTACTGGGGAAAATTTCCCTGACTCCCCAGAGCAAAGCTAAAACCACTCTTTTACTTCATGTACAAATTTATCACTGTTCTGAATCTAGCTTTACAGAATCTATCTGTATATATGTTTGGTTTCCACACACAAATCTCAGGCTATTGATATAAAATACTTTTTTGTTGGATTCAAATTTCTAGTATGATAAGCATAGAAAAAGAGAAAGAATTTATGGTAATGACTCAGAGGAAGGAACTTATCAAATTAGGAGTCTTCTTCAGGAAAGCACTCTTGAGTTGTTACTTTATGCATGTGGCTTTCCTAAGTAGAAAACATACTATCAGTAAGATGTTAAGATGATCTTAGACACTGAAAAGGTGAGAGGGTAACTGCCAAAATTGACTGAAAAAATTAAAATATCATTTCCTCTAAGAAAACTTCTCTACTATCAGACAGATGATTCTAAAGTGGAAGGAGCATTACTTTTTTCCTAGGAAGTAGTTGGGAATTTGTGGTACTATTTACACTTGTTACAAACATTCCAAAAGCCAGGGAAGAGAGTCTGCTATGTACATAGAACAGTTCTGTACAACGATGGAAAATCCTTAGTTTCATGCAACTTTTGAATATGGAGACAAACCTGTTAATGAATAGCTGGGCAAAGAATTTAACTTTTTAAAAACAAATATATTAACATTAAGTCAACTCTGCATAGTTTTAATATATATTAAAAATTTTCAAGAATGGATTATTATGTAAATTCAGAGGCTACTTTGTATGGGACTGTAGCAAGAATCACTCAAGTATTTCAGAAGAGCACTGATGACAGGAGAAACTGTATTGTCTTGAGTTGTCAATGCCAACTGTCTACAACAATTCACATTTTAACTACCATATTCACAATGATTATGTAGAGGTGGAGGAAGTATCTAACTTTAGTCTTCCCAGAGTTTCCATGCTTGAGCATCATGCTGAAACACACAACCGAGTATAGAGTACTACAAATTATTGCTTATAAAAGGGTAGAAGAAAATCAACAAAATATCAAGAACAAGTCCATACCCTGCAATTGTATCTCTGAACACAAATGGACTTACTTCTCCATTTAAAAGACCAGAAGTACCAAGACCTTACAGGATCAGCCTTGAATAGTGAATGTAATGATAGAGCCTAAGGCCAAAAACACTTTTGTGTAAATCTACTCAAATCTTTATGAAAACAACTTAGCATGTAACTTACTAAAAGCCATCCAGTATGCAAAGACAGGAACCCTAACACTACATTATCATTATATAACTCTTTCTCTTTTTATATATTTTGTTTTCTCAAAAACTCAAGTCAGGCAAAGTGGTGCTTCCTTGAGGTACTTAGGGAACAATTACATCAAATTTAAGGGATGTTTACACTTAACATTTAAAACTTCTTTCCAACTAGTACTACGAGAGAACATTTGTTATCTTGAAATCACTTAAAGCCTATGCAAGATACCTAACGGTTTTTGTTTTGTTTTCCCTGAATGGCCTCTCAAAGATACAACTTAGAAGTTATAATGTGAATTTAGTAAACTAATTACTTTTCCTAAGCATACAGCCCAAGGTTGAAACGGATTTTTAAACAACTCCTGTCACTAGGACAGGCAGAGAGTCTGTCAAATAGGAGATGCTGCTTAGATGACTAATACGACAGCCATTCTCAATTCGCCCCTTTCCTCAGCCTTTAAACAAAGAGTAGACCTACTGATGCTACACAGGATTTCCCCCACAAATCTGAAAACAAACTGTAAATTGTATGTGGTTCTTTGTTGGTCTTACAATGCCTAATATGTTCAATGTTTTGTCCCTCATCAATAATACTTAGCTTGATGTGTGGTGCCAAACCTTCGCTGAAGAAACAGGCTACATCAGCATATGCCACCAGAAAAAGGGAAGAGGAACCAGGTCTGTTCAGAGTACAGCCCAGCTATCTAGCTCTCTATGTACAGTTCTGTATAGTAGTTCCTATCTACTGCCCATCTACTTATGCTACTCTTTTTGCCTGAAATGCTACCATCTCAACATATCTTCCATAAAGAAAGGTCACAAGATCCAATAAACTCCTTTTCTTACTGTAACTTAGATTTCTGTCAAATTTCAAAAACGCACTGGATTTGTCTTACCTGAGTATCTCCACTAAGGCTTAAAGCTCCTTGAGATGAGGACACTTTTACTTTTACATTCCAAGTCTCGAGTAGTACTACAGATATAAAACAAATACGTTTTGGTGCTTAGAGGAAGCTATGTATTCTAGACACACTTGGGGAGGGAAGGGCAGGATCCATTGAGAAAGAAGTGAAAACTCTGGATAATTTGCCTAATGAAATTCAAAGGAAATTCCTGCAATTCTTGAGGGTTCACAGAATTAAGGGTCACCTGTAAATCCTGGGGGATCCATTCCCCCAAGTTCCTGAACTCTTCTTTTGACCCACAGTATTAGAGGAATAGCAAGACGCATCTCCACTTGTAATTCTGAGTTTTGAAGTTATTTTTGAACTACTTAATGTAAACGCACTTTTTTTGGTTTTATTTCCAGGACCAATAGGCTCGTCAATTAGACTAAACTGTTTTTAAACAAAAAGTATTTCCTTGATCCTTAACCATGTCCAAGAGAACCCAGGGAAATTATCAGGGCTAAAGAACAATAACCGCCTACATTTTAAAATGAAACAGTTCTACAAATGCTTACGTGCATTCTGTGGAAAGAGAGAATTTATTTAAGTATAGGTATCAACTTTTCATCGTCGAATGAGAAAGCATCGTGAAGGAGCTAAGTTAAATGCCAACTAGAACTCGGCCTACTGGGTCTCCCAAACCTGGTTTAGACTCATCTCCTTCTGCTGACATTTTCGCTTCACCTGTAAATTTTCTTCCCTGTCTATGAGAGGGCCCCTGGCAGATCTCGACGTGGGCAGCACTGCCTCTCTCGGCGGACTTTAGAAAAACCTCGGACAAAACTCCGGATGGCCGGTGCGACCTTTCCACTTCTCGCCTTTTTGTTAAACCATCAGCCTGTGCATCCGCTGCTCTTTCCTGTGCCTAGAAGGGGCGTCAGGCTACGCTTTGGCGTTGTCAGCTCCGAGAAGGAAAAGGGAAGAGACAGGTACCTCTCGGAATAGCGCAAGAGCTCTGCATCTAGCTGCTCTCGGATCCCGGTGCGTTTCCGGTTGAGATAGCGGGGCGACAGGGCGATGTGCCTTCTGTGTGGCCCAGCCACAAGGCACGAGTAGCGGCTGTTCACCAGCGCACAAGCAGCAGCATAGGTCGGCAGCTCCAGGCAAGGAAGGGGGCCGGCCGGTCCTACCACTCGCCCTTCCGAGGCCCCCTCGGGCAGCAGCGCCTCGGAGGGACCAGCAGCCATGCGGATGGTGAGGATACTTGCGTCGCGCACCAGTGACGTAAGCACAAGCGCGTCTTCTCAGACGCGGGATTTACATTTACGTCTTGCGCCAGCTACCACGCCCCTAGGGATTTTATCTCCGTTCACTGCATTATGTAGGTCTGACCAGCAGAGGGCAACCGTTCTTTCGCGCTTGGAAGGACTGAGCGTGGAATTTGTGCTACACACAGAGCATGCGTCAGGCCAACCCTCTCATTTTTTTTTTTTCTTTTTTTTTTAGTACATGTTTGGGATACGTAATGAATACATTCATCATGAGGAGTTGGTACAGGTAGATATCGCATTGTTTCTTTAAGGGGCGGACAAACGTGTGTTTTCACAAACGTCCTCACCACATTTAGTATAGGGGCAATGGGCTGTCAACCTTGACCATTTCCACTAACATGTTTTGCTGGAATTGTACAAGCTTGGACTGTACAGAAAGTTTAAAAAATTATGAAGTATATTTAATACGATCCTATGCAGCAGCCCACATGCTTCAAATACAACAGCTGAATATCTCAAATTCAGCTTTTCTCATTCTACAATTGTTAAATCAGACAAATCACTGCTTTCCAAGTGGCTCAGCCAAGGTGTCATCTCCGGGCTTCTCTCGAGTCACCAAATATCTTATCAGCCCGAAGGCCTGTGCTGCTCAAAGCGGAAACACTGCTCTGTTTGGACATATCTGTCTGTTCTCATTGCCAAAACTACAAGCCGTCTTTTCGACCTGTAGAAAGTTAGCTTAAGAATCAAGAAAACACAGCAGCCTGATCTCTGAAACACAAACAGGATCATGATGTGCTCTGTGTAAAGCCCTGGGCAGCACCCCATGTTCCCTATGGTAATCCAAACACCTTCTTATGGCTCCTAAATTACTAGGCCATTGAATAATTTGCCCCAGCTGCTTTCATAGCTGTATCATATTCAACATCATCTGTGGGGCGCCCTTGCTGTGTGTCCACTTTAAGCTCTCACATACACAAACTCTCCTCCAGCCTCCAGTCTTGTGCTGTTCTTTCCTCATAGAGTAAAGTAGCTTCTCTCACATGGGTATATTCAATTCATGTCAGTTTTTGGTTGATTTCATATTTTGTTCCTCTGCAAAGAGTTACTAACTCTACCCCTCTTTTCCTATAAACATTAGGTAGTTCTTGTTACCTCCATCTAGAGCGTGTCTTTATATTAACCTGCCTATCTTGGAGAGATGATAGGAGGTTCAAATAAATAAAAAGCATTTTCTTTATTATTCTTTTCACATTCAGCACAAGAAAGAAACACAATGAAACTGTTCTCAAAGTCCAGTGAGAGACACTTTAGGTCCACAAATGGGAAATGTAAGAAACTTTACCTTTTTTTACAAAGTCCCTTAACACTCTTGTGCAAGAAGGGTTTGCTCACTGTTAATAACGTTTGCTGAGGATCAAAATCAACATCCTGAAGCCAAGATAACATCCCAGAACATTTAAATAAGCCTTCTCCTGGTCTCTGATTACACCTTACAGTCAAGATAGATTTGAATTGGCTGCAGATTATTTAAATACAAGTTTTTGAAAAAGCAATGTAATAAAAATTAGCCTGGACAATTCAACAACGACAACAACAACAACAACAACAAAAGATTTACCTCACTAATTATTTTGAGCAAATATTAAACATGGTGCACCATGAAGTAGTTTTGTTACCTTGTCTGTGTGCATAAGCAGTTACATGTTTGATTAAATTTCTAAAAACCTGAAATTACTACAGTGGAATTTTATGAAGAATTGGAATCAAGGATTTTAAACTGGATCAGTCTCCCCCAGCCGGGATCTAAGCTGGGCCTGCAGGCCGGCTCCGGGGAAAAGCGGGGTCCCCAATCCTGCTCCATGCTAACTCCTGGGAAACAATGGAAGGTGACTGGAGCGGCCCACAGAACCCGGTGGGCAGCACCTCGCAGGCAGGAAGAGCGCCCCGGGCTGACTGACCCCAGCTCTGTCCGACAGGCTACTCCCACTTGCAACCAGGGGCCACGGCGCACAGGGACATAAAGGCCATTGTCCGGAGCTGCAGAAGTGAACAACAGAGAGAGGGCCTCTCTCAGGCTCCCTGACAAAAACTGAAGCCCACTGGAAAAGTGAAGAGAATCTCTGCAATAAAGGCACACCAGACCACCCTACTTGGTAAGTTGGAGGGATCACCACCTCCCATTGGAACCTGGATGATCTTCAGGGGAAGAGCAGCTGGAACCTGCACTAGAACCTTGCAGAGTTCAACCCTGTAGGAGGACAGGGAGCTCAGCTTGGGACTTGCAGCCAGAAATCTGCCTGAATCTCATGGGTCTGTGACTGGCTTACTGAGACTCATTGACTTATAACTTCACACTGCTGCCCACATTGTCTATTGTGACAAGCAGAGACATACCCTGAAGGAGGCCCTTCATTTTTATCTTTTATTTGTTATTTTCAAAATTACTGCTTTTTTTTTTGCTCTTATGTTTAATTTTTTTTTCTTTTTCTACTCTTTTCTCTTTTTTCTTTCTTTTCTCTTTTCATCCTCTCTCTCTCTCTGCCTCGCTCCCTTGCTGTCCCACATTGTTCTTCATCTCCCTTTGTGTTCCTGTTCTGGTCCTCATTCGGATTTCTTTTTTATGTTTCTTTTCTTCTCTTTCCTTCTCTTGCCTGTGTCCTCTGGCCTCACTGCTAACCTTCCCCTATCCTTCTACCTACCTATCTCTCCCTCCCCAACTCCTTCTAACTCCCCATCCTGAAGGGTAAAGTTGCTTAATTGAAGAGTATTCACTGTATAGATATGTTGGGTTGGTCCTTGATTTTGATCTAATTCGCACAGTTAAAGGAGATAGGTTAATAACTACCACAAATTGTCATTTTCTAAGAGGTACTTGATGCTATTGTGTTGCTGATTTTATCACTTGGGCTAAGGTGCTGTGATTGATCTAATCAGTTGTCCTTCCTGGTATAATGAAAATGAGATAGTCTCAGAGCCATTACAGACTCAAAACCTAAAGACCAGCTATATCTGGAAGACACCTCTGAGAAGTAGTCACTCCATAAGGGTTCTAAATGCACCAATAAAGATACTTACAATAAGCAACTTCAAAGTGTCAACCCAGGAACTGAACCAAGGAACGTACCAAAAACAAAAATGAGAAGACATTTAAGCAAGGCACAAAGTCAGACTTCCACCCCAAAAAAGGCAAATTCTGGGGGGAAGCAAGGTGGAAAAGTCCAATAATCCACCTCCTGGACACCCTGAACTGATAGCACAGGAAGTAACAAAACAGATGAATGAGGCTCTAGAAAAATTCAACACAAAAATAATCTCCCAGATAACTACAGAGATGGTGAGCAGAGTGAAAGACATGATTAGAGGCTCTAAAACAGAAACAGATTTAAAAAAATAGATGAGCTCAGAAACATGTTGGAAGCCATGAATGCTCAGCATAAGAAAGAAATGGAAACCATTATCGTCCAACATAAGAAAGAAATGGAATCCATGACAGATTCAAACAGTTATTCAGGAGATTAAAAACTCCATTGAAAGCATACAGACCAGATTAAGAGAATCTGAAGATAGAAAATCAGATATAGAAGACAGGATTGCAGTTAAGGACCATGAAAACAGTGATCTCTTCAAAATAGTAAGGGACCATGAGAAATCAATCCAGCAGCTGCTAGATGATGCAAAGAAGAATAAGATAAGACTGATAGGAGTCCACGAAAAAACAGGAGAAAGTACAATTGACATTAAAAAAAACTGTTCACAGAAGTAACAGTAGAAAACCTAGACAGAGGTGGAGAATTGGACATACAGATAAGTGAGGCATATAGAACTCCAACTAGCCATGATCAAAAACAATCTACACCTAGACATATAATAGTCAAGATCCCAGAAACCCAACAGAAGAACAAAATCCTACAAGCAGTTAGAGAAAAGAAACAAATCACCTACAAAGGAAAGCCATCAGAGTCATGGCAGACTTCTCAACATAAACCCACAAATCAAGGAGAGACTGGAGTGAATTATTTCAAGCTCTAAAAGAAAATAACTTCCAACCTAGACTGTTGTATCTTGCAAAATTATCTTTCAAAATTGATGGGGAAATTAGATACTTCTATGACAAAGAACACCTGAGAAATTTCATGAACACCAAACCAGCACTCCAAGCAATTCTAAGCAATATCCTAGAAAAAGACAATGAAGGTCCTAATTCCATGAAGCCCAACAGAGGGAAGCCACCAGGCAAGGTAAGACACTAAAGGGAAAGGGGGAAAAAAAGAAATAAAAGAGCCAACAACAGTAAAACATCATGCCAAGGTTGGGTCATTATCTCTTAGTTGTAACTATCAATGTTAATGGCCTCAATTCACCAATCAAAAGAAATAGACTGACAGATGGACTAAGAAGCAAAATCCAACAATATGCTGTATACAAGAAACACACCTAACTCAAAAGGAAATTCATAGACTGAAAGTAAAAGGATGGAAAACAG